ATTTGTTTTGATGATCCACATTCTGAGACTAACGACATTGTTTATGAGACTGGTATATAGCTGATGAAGCACTTCAGGAACAGCATGGTATGACAAAAAAATATGCATGAGAAGTAGGGAAGAATAATATGCAGTTCTCAAGCTCCCTAATGGCATTGACCTGAATCTGATGAGAAAATGTTTAGTAGTCTTTCAGTCCAGCTGCTGCTATCTCACAGCTGCTCCTGTAGTTCACAGTTGATGGGTCTGCTAAATCTGCCCCAACGTAGATGTCCATTGTTCTATCATTGTAGCATCTATCTTTTTTTTTTTTGCAATGGCAGGTCATTAGTATCTTACCATAAGATGGAAGTTATACTGATGTATAAAATGTAAGATACGGTATTTAGTAAGTCACTTTTTGACAGCTGTATGCAGAGAAGACCAACAGCAAAGAATAAAAATTAAAGCATACTAAAAGTATATTTTTACATTTAATAGAGATTTGCTTTCGAAAAGATGGAATGGACCAGACATTATGCTTGTAAGAAACTGTTAGCACTGTTGACACACTATGATATGGTCAAAAGAAAGTCTAGACAAACAGATTCAAATCAGCTGCAAGCAATACGGTAAGCTTCTTGAATTCACTCTGTTTTTTTTCTCTCTCTATTGTATTATTACTTAATGAAAAGTAATAGATCTTTTTCACTCCTGCTCTCAACCATGTATTACCTCCTAGACAAAGGAAAGAGTTTAAATCAAGAGCTGAATATCTAACTACTGCTTCGCAGGAACATGTGTACATTCCCTTCAGTGCTAGTTTAAAAGGTCCTGACCTTTTTTGCACCCTTCCTCTACAATAGCCCAATCTATTTTGGTGAGACTACATTTAAGATTTAGCATTTTGTAGAGGTGCATATATATCGGTCCATATGGTATCTGTGCTCATAAAAGGAAAATTGACGTTATTGGCAATTGACTACTTTGGCCAATGCGGCCAATAATGTCACAGATAAATGCTACATGCACGTGCGCAGCTGCAGCATGCACATGGTCAGGAGTACAGCCCAGCAGCATGGAAAGCAGTGCCTGGCCGGTAAGTCTGGGAGAGGGAAGGTGGGGGGCGCAGATCAAGGCCTCCATGGGATGGGGAGGAGTAGGCACTGCCCAGCCAGGGCCCGGTCCAGGATGGAGCCACAGATAGCTTGCCTGGGGGGTGGGGAGGGGGGCAGCTTCCATTGCTATGTGCATACCTGAGGGAGACATGGGGGGCATGTGCCCTCCCAGACTTGTGCACGGGGTGAGAATGGGTTCGGGGATGCACCAGCTTCTTCCTGGGCTGGAGCTAAGCTCTGGGAGGGAGCCTACAGGGTGGTTACAGCAAATTTTGGGGTGGCTGCAGTCCCTCCTGTAACCCTCCCTCCCAGTGCTGTCGCCACCACCTGCCCTGAGCGCAGCCGCAGCCCAGGCCCTCCCACCAGGAAGAGGCTGCAGCAGGCATTCAGTCCTCACCCTGCATACAAATCCGAGGGGCACATGCCCCCCGTGCCTCGTCCAGTGGGTGCCCAGCATGAGGAGCTGTCCCCCTTCCCACCCCCGCACCTCCATGCTCTCTGGACCAGCCGCCTAGAGCTCCATCCTCCGCCCTGCCCAGCTGGGTAGTGCTTGCCCATCCCTACCTCCCTCATTGCGTGGTCTTTGATCTGTCCCCCCCATGCCCCTTCCCATTCCCATGCCCCTTCCCCCCCACAGACTTACTAGCTAGACTCTGCTCACCAGGCTGCATATTGGCAATCGGATCAGCTGATATGGCTGGTTAATAATCATCCATCAGTATAGGCCAAAAAAATCTTTATCAGTGCATCCCTAGCATTTTGAGTTGGGTTCTATGTTCAGTGAGGTCCATGGCAAAGCTTCCATTCATTTTCATGGAACAGGATACTCTTTTCCTTATATATGTAAGGAAGAGGGTAAGGGAAAGTGTCCCTTTTTATCCTTATAAAAAAGGCACTTTTTTATCCTTATAAAAAAGGACATTTTTTTATCCTTTCCTTTATCTACATAAAGGAAAAAGTATTTGTGAAATCTGACCCACCAAACTAAAATCTAAGTCCTGGGTTTTCTTGTCCAACATACTAGTTTTTTTCAACTAATGGCTGAAAATAACAGATTGTCTTGCTGTGGAAGTGGTGTCCTCTGTTTGTGTTTTTTTTTTATCTATGCAAACAATTAAAAAATATCTTCCAAGCTCTAAATGTCTTTGATTACTCTTATTTAATAATGCAATCACAGACAGAATCACAATCAGCCCTGCCACGTTACAACGTCTAAACTGAACAGCTCAAATAGAATTAAAGAGAATATTTCTCATTTTGTTTGAATATCACTACCTTATGAATCTTTTTTCCTTAAAACTCTCCAAAGGAGGCAAAGGAGTGAATTAAAATGAAAAAAATAACACCCTTTTTATGCCTTTGAGACTTGTTCTTCCATGCTGAGTTTGAGGGACCAGGCAGAATAGTATAAAAAGTTTTGCAGGTTTGCTTTCTTTATGGTAGGGAGAGGGCTTTATTTTCCAATTTTACCACTTTAATACTTGTCAGAGGGACTCCATTCACTAAAAACAATTTGTTTAAATGTTCAGAATCAAAAACTTAAGTTTTTTATCTATGAAAACCAGTAAAGAAAAATAGTCTTTAAAACCATCTGCATGCATTTCCATGGAAGCTTTTCTCTGATATTTAGCTCACCCTGCCTCTGCCTCTTTCATAGCTGAGGAAGGGCACTTGATGCCTGAAAGTTGGTCCAATAAAAGATACTACCAAAAATCCTTTCCTCTTGTTTTAAAAATAAGTATTTTGCTTTTTTGGAATCGGTACAAAATTGACTGTTGCAAGGATTTGTATCGTTTTTCACTCTGATTTGTATGCATTACAAAATCACAATTTTTACAGTGGACTTCATTTTTTTTTGCTCAAATTAAATCTATGCAATGAAGCTGATACTGTGTCCCTCTTTTTTTATTTGACAGGATAGCCAGAACCCGTATTAAAAATGGGATTCCTTGTTTTGAAATTGAATGGCAAAAACCAGGTCAGTGCCCTCTTGTACAAATTAAGTTATTTTATAATGTAATTAAATCAATGGACAAAAATCTCCTTTAAGAAAGATGTGCAGCTGACACTGCACAAGATTAGCCTGTTTTACACATTGGAGAACACATACTTCTCAAACTTAAAATAAAAACCATCTCAAAGAACCTTTCCTCCCTCTCAACCTGCCCAAGGGCTCAGTTTCTGGTGCGTGAGAGCAGACATTGATACATACCAGTAACAGAGCAAAAGTGTTTCTAATTCTATTACACTGGCCTGACATCATCATAGTGTATTGGACTGCAATTTTTTCCTATTCCTGGTCCTAGCCTGTCTCCTACATTACGATAACTCTGCTGAGGAATCTTCCCCATCCTAGAAGATTCCTCAGTTGTCCTATTGAAGAAAGTTTTGGTTTTTTTTTAATGCCTCTGTGCCTGTCTTTTGGTACAAAGAGCAGAGATTCTGGCTTGAGATTTGATCTTTCTTTTAATTTGGAAATTATAGCACTAGGTTAAAGGGAATTGGGCATTTTTGGTTGGTTGATTGTTGGGGGGTGGTTGTTTGCTTTGGTCCCTTAGTTTCCCCCAAGCATCATTTGAAATTTATGATTACTTTTATTCACTAATGTTCCTTTGCTTGTTTTTTAGAGCATTATGTTACTGCAGATGATCAGGCCATGGAGTCCTTTGTGGTTACAGTAGAGGAAGAATCTTTGTTTCAGGCTGCCTATTCTGATGTTGTTGCTCATTATAAAATGGAAAAATTAGAAGTCCTGGAAAAGAAACAGAAAAGTATGTTTTTGAAAGCATAACAATGTCTATCATAACATAAATGAGGGAGAGAATTTTAGGGCCACTTCAGTAGTTATGTATGCATTATAATTACTGGAGGACTTATATCCCAGCAGGGTCCCCTCTCCTTCCTTTACCATGCTTTTTATCATTATTGCTTAAAACTGGATGCATCTACACATGAATTAACGTAATGCAATAAACTCTGGAGCAGTTCACGCCGGAGTTGATTGCTCCTGGGCATATGCACCTGGGACAGCAGCACTTTGAGCCAAGGCAGAGTAGCCCTGATCTGGCAGCAGGCTCACGGGCAGTGGTGGCAGAGGGGCTGGCTGAGGCACAAGGGTGGAGAATCTGCAGAGCTGTGTAGTTAGGCAGCAGGCAGCCTCCACATTTTAACTCCCTTGTGTCCTAGCCAGCCTGTCACTGTTTACACATGAGTTTCATTGCACTTCACTCTGCTGTAAGATAGTACTGTTATTAATTCATTTACTACACCCTAATACTGGTTTACATGTAGACAATGACACTTTACTGCAGAGCTAATTAGTCAATTCCACAGCAGAGCGAGCGTGTAGATGTGCCCACTAAATTCTGAACAAGGTCAGTTACTGCTTGGCCCTGTTTAATTACAAAAAGTGCCTGTTTTCATGTATGGTTTTTGTTTTTGCAGGTAAGAAACATAAACTAAAGGAAAAAGGACCCTCAACTGTGGAAATTACTGATCTTGTGTCTCAGATGAATTTGCAATCTTCTAAACAGGATTTCAAGTTGGATAGTAAAATTCTTTCTGATAGTTATTTACAACAGAAAAATACCTCTAGATCTGAAGACCTCTTGTTAGCTACAAAGCCTTCCATTACAAACGTTAAAATACCAAAGCCAGCATCTATCCTTTCTCCAGCTTCTACATCCAGTTGTCTACATCAGAGTATTTTAGATGATTCTGTTATATTATTGTCACCATCATCTTGTGCTTCCTCTGTGATAGCTGATCTACAATTAAGTGGCATTGATTGGGAAGGAACATCTTTCAGCACTTCACCAGTCCATGTTGACGGTACCTGCTCAATGACTGAGATTGGTGCATCTAATAATGGCATAAGCCACTTACATTCATTACAGAATAAAATAGTTGAAAACACCTCAAAATATTCTAGTTCTCTACAGCCTCACCAAGATCCTTGCAGAAGCACAGATTGTTTGGTTTCAAATTGTACTGATCTGGTAAGACATCTTCAACCACTGCCTGTAAGAGAGCGAGTACTTCTGAAGACTTCTGTTCAATCAGACACTTTACTTTCTCAGAACATAGTACAATTTAAACCTTTGCAACAAATGAAAGAGACCTTGTTTTCTGAGAATGATTCCGGTTCTCCTTCAGATCAGTTAAACAATACATCCCTGGAAACTCAAAATGTGTTTTCAGAAAAACAGCTCAGGGGATCCCTATCACAAAATTATCAGGAATGGTACAAAACTCCTGAAAATTTAGTGCAAAAATATCCCAATCTAAGCAGTTTAAAGTCTATGGATATGAAAAGCTATGAAAACAAAACTTCATGCTTTGATAGCAAACCACAGAAATTCTCTTTTACACAAACAAAGCCCACAGATGACTCTCAGGTTAGCAAGCTTTGTACACAAGCATCTCAGAAAGCTGTTAAAAAGAGTGTATGCCAGGTGGAACCCTCTTTGAGTGAGGACAGTGATGATGGGAACACGAAAGTTAAAAAACAAATATCTAAGCAAGGAAGAAGACAATGGAAGCCAGTTAATCTGAAGGAAAATGCAAGGCATAAGCAAGGGAGTGCTGCTGCCAGCAGTGAGAAGAGTAACAGTGTCTCACATCTTTCAACTGAATGGTTAAAAGAAGAAACCAATTTAAAAATATCTGACAATAACTTATCAACAGAAATGTCTCCAAAATCTGAGCTTGTAACTGAAGATAACAGTTTCCAGTTTCCACTACAAACTTTTACAAGGTTAGGCTCCTCTCCTCTGCAGCAAAGCAAAATCAGTAACTGTGATGTGTGGGTAGACAGTCCCCTTCCTCTGTCTGAAAGGCTCAAACTTAGGTTCAAAAACAATTAGAACATCATAAATTAGGCAAATTACACTTTATGCAAAATTTTTGTCTTAAATACCTTTCCACAGTTTCTATAATATTGTTCTACACAAATTCACAAGACAGTGTATTGCTAAGCTGACATAGTTACAACTAATAGCATATTCTGAACACTTGGCACCAGAGTTTGGAATGAAAACACTAGCAAAAATATGCAACCCCTGGCATACAATTGACACACACTAGAGTCCCATTTATGACTATACTGTTTTCCTTCCATAAACACTATAGCCATGATCTTCAACATTTACTATTATATTTGCAAGACAGTATAAAGGGATTTTTAATATAATTTGTAGCAGGATTCTTGGTGCTCCTGCTACTTTAAGAGAAGGCAGGCAGCATGAGAAGCAGCCTGTAGGTGTATCAGGGGCCAATTAGACAGTCATCTGATCAGAAGGGGGCTGAACATGAAGCATATAAGCCCAGGGTCTAAGCTGGTTAGGCAGTCTAGCCTGGAGAGCTACAGAGAGAAGAGCTTCTGGGTAGCAGGGTTTCTAGTTAACATCTGAACTGGAATAACATGAGTAGGGTGAACAGCTGTGGTAGTTTGTGGAAGGGACTAAGGGGAGATGGGGAGATCTCAGCCAGACCAGGGAGACATGGCCCAGGGGGCTAAAAGGCCAGAGAGAGTGTGGAGGGCCTGGGGAGCAGGTGGGGTCAGGGTGCCCATAGGTCTTGCTGGCTGAGGAGCAGGGCCAGGGCTTAGAAAGGACCGAGAGGGCCACAGCTGGAGACTTGCAGGGCTGGAGAGCCAATGGGTCTCAACTGACCTAGGAACACAGCCAAGGTCTAAGGAGAAAGACTGAAGGCCAGGAGACCAAGAGGGCCAGAGTGCCTGTAGCCCAGAGAGGGACTGGTGTAAGGACAAACAGCCAGGAGCCTGTAGGGGCAGCTAGCATGTGTGACATCTGCAAGGAATGGGTGTGGGTATTGGGGAGGACAGAGGCCACATAATTAGCCCTTACAGCGATTAGCATGGACATCTGTGTTCAGTAGTGCAAGACCAGGCTTGGGAAGCCTTGGGGCAGTCATCAAGATGTGGAGAAGGGGAGATTGCCTAAAGAGAGTCAGGTTGACAGGTGTGGAGAGGGGTCCTGGGGCATCATGCGACCCCTGGAGTGGGACACTGTTGCACCATTAATTTCTATTTTCAGAGAAAATGTCATAATCCAGTTGCAATATGTTATGCAACTATCCAAATACTTAGATACCAGTGGTATTGATCACATCTGACATCATAAGATATATTCAACAGATGTGCTTCTTTGATCTGGCACACCTTATGAAAAATTTTTGAAGGTATGCTACTTCCACAGAAGGGAGTAGGCCTTTTAAGAGAGATCTAGTTCTGTAACTTGTCATTTCTAGCCTTTTACCTACATTCAATTAGTATACTAAATATATCTTATAGCTAGTAACAATTTTTGCTACAGAAAAAGAAGCAAGATCTCCAGGTTTGACTTTTTTTGTTGTGTTTTGTTTTGTTTTTTTTACTCACGGTAGAAATGAAAGTTCTGACATTCTACATCTCAGCTTTGCTGTTGTAGCTTCCTTTACAAGCATATTTTAAACCATTATTTTAAAAAGTGTTGAAAATACTCTTTTGAAGGTATATCTAACTGGGATACAGTTATTACCACTCTTTAATAAAACATAGAACCACTGAGCCTACATATGCCAAAATATGTACTGCTCCCCTGACCTGCCATGGAATTCCTATTGGCTGTCCTTTATCAGGATACAGTACTTACAGAGTATCTCAGTTAATTCACCCCCTTTGAAATATAGTTCTTTTCAATATTTTGGGGGAAAGAGGGGAAAGATAGCCAATTGATAGTAGGACCTATGTTAATCCTATTAATTGAGGGTCTGCCAATACTAGATTTTGTCCACAGTCAAGCTGGCTTTCAAGTTAGGTCCTGAGATGGGGACAGCTTGAACTGTCTGGCCTCCTCTTCCTCAATTTCCATTTCACAGTTTCTTCTAGATTGGTTGATTCCCTTCTATCCAGGTAATTCTGTTAGATTTGGTTCTATATTGGGCACTTTCCAAGGAAAGTAATCCACAATCCTCCTAGCTGAATGCAGTCTTCACTGCTCTATCTTCTTATCAAATGGACAATTTCCAGGTTTTTCAGCATCTGACTGGTTAATTTGGTCCAGGCCTTTCAGATCTCAGTGAAAACAGTGAGTCTGCTAGTCCTAGTTGATGTACTGCACCATTCTAGTTATAATGCAGAAGACCTGCCTATCAGCAAGGCACTGATGGACTCACCCAAGCTGGCTGGGAAGATTCCTCCCTCTTGTTTTGCTTCTGGAGAGAGTAGGCAGAAAGTATTGAGTCTCCTGTAATAGATTGAGCACTTTATACCCCTTCAGTATCCTTCTTCCTGGTGGCAGCTGTGGCAGACAGTCAGGCAGCTGCTCTCTACTCCTAGAGAAAATAGGCCAGGCATGTTGACACCTTTGATCACAAAATTGATCGTTAGCCTTCAGTTCTGAATAGCTAATTGCCAAGCCCGTCTAACAAGATATGACTTTCATAAGAATAGGTTGCTTATACAGAGGACTCAAAGGAATCAAAAGAAGTCCTGTTAACCCTATGTCTGAGGGGCACATTGGCTAAAACAGGCTGCAGATGTGGTCAGTAACTGAAACACCACAATAATAGGTGCAGATGTTGGACCTAATATAAGACTAAAGTATGACAGTATGTGCTTAAGTTTGCATTTTAGTTGCAAGCAATAGCCTGGGAAAGAATAAGAATCTATTAAATCAAGACAACTAACATTAGGCTATGCCAGATGTAAATTACTGCTTTTTGGAGTTTCTGACAGTTGTTAAAAGTAACAACTAAAGGTTTGTCTTCTGGTGACAAGAATTGAATTGTAGGTAGTCGGCTAGAAACTTGTTGAAATAATGCATCTTTGTGAGCTGAATATGGTAAGGCAGAAATATATAATCACTTACTACCAGCCTTGACTACTTTCAAGCGGTCTGTGCCAAGCTACAGAAGTGTGGCAAAAGAAGGGGGCATCAAAAGCCTGTTTCTGGGTGACTTAGAATGAACCTTTGTAGATGTTATAGCTAGGTTGTTCAGCAAAGGAAAGAAAACAATACACCCAGCAAAAGACTTAACAGAAGGCATTATAAGAAGGCCTTAAGGTATCTTATAATTTTAATTGAGAATATTAGTAGAAATGATTGATGTAATCATGGGCATTGGCTATTTTTAAAATTTCTTTGGTAAGTTCTAAAACAAAGCAGGCTTCTCAGTGAAAACTATAGATCAAGATGGAAAAAAACCCAGGATAGTAGCAGCATTCCATGACAGTAGGGAGGGGAAAAAGAAATCTTCCCTTCAAAATTGTAATTTTCAAAAGGCTGTAACAGGACTGGATCAGTTCAAGTCCAGAAGTTTTAATCAGAGAATGTATCTTTAGAATATTAAATCAAGCAATTTATAAATATAGGTTATAGACTAGCAGGAAAAATGAAAAAAGATCTACTATCCATGTGCTACCTCCTTCCTAAGCCTCCCAGCTGGAATAGATAAGAACCTGTAACATGCTGGTCGTGTGTTGCTAGGTAGACATTGCAATAATGGTTTGTTCATGTGCTTTTGGGATGTGACAATTAAAAGTTACATTGTAGGTCTATCTCTTGCCTTTTTTTTTTTTCTGACTGCATAGTGATAATTAACAAAATTGTGACTATACTTAATTTTGTGTTTGAAGGGTAAAATCATTGAGGAAATTACAGCTGTACCTTAATTCAAAGTCTAAGCTTGCAAAAGAGGTCCTGATCATAGACGAGCTGTAGTCTCATCTCTAAAGGCTGAATGGGCCTGCATTTTTGGTAACACTGCAAGTGTCTCTGAAATACAGCTAATACCATCTTTTGAATAGACAGGGCTGTGGTCCAGAAGCTTTTTTCATAGGTACAGAGTTCTGGTTTCCCAAAGAGATTGAGTATTCTGGAAGAATAAACACTGCGAGGAAAAGGAAATGTCCGCTGCTCCATGAAGAGAGCTTTCCTGGCATCCATTAGCTCAGTAAAGGGTGTGCATGCACCCTCTATCCAGATAAAATGGCTGTCCATCCAACTGGTGGCCCACAGGCTGTATAGCATACAGTTTCTAGGCTCCCACAACCTTTAAAACAGCAGGTGGGATCTTGGGGATCCTGCTACCACCCTACCCGCAGCATCTACTGTATGCCTCTGCCCCAGAGATGGGACAGCACAGCCCAGTGCAGCCCATGTTGCCAGAGGAACCAGCTGCCCTGTATGGTGCAATGCCACAAGGGAGCCCACAGGGAACTGAAAGTATGGGGTGCTGCACCTTACAGGGAGCATCCTCCCATGTGCATGTAGTGCCGTAACATGGGGGTGTCCACCTACACATGCATGCTCAGGGCATGCATCCAGGGGAGGCCTGTGGCCCCTGATAGCCCTGCCTCTCCTGGTGTGAGCTGTGGGGCATGTGGCCTCTGGCTGCTTTGAAGCTGAACAGCCCTGAAAGAAAATATCCTTCAGGCCAATCTGTGTTTCTGCCCAAGGTGGAGTTTCACCTCAGCTTACAAATGAACTTGCTGGACCATTTCCCCAAACCTCACCTTTGTGCAGCTGAGGTCATTGCATGCACTCAATATGAGAAGAGCACTGAGAAGAGTACAATCAGTTGCTCAATACTAAGAGTTTTTTCCAGAAAGTCTCTGCAACTACTGTTTCTCTTGAGCCGGGGGATCTAAAGGTGCAGGTCACAAAACCCTTGGACGCAGGTGTTGCGGTGCACGTAGTCTTTCTGGACTTTAGGAAGGCCTTTGACACTGTCTCTCACCTCATTAAAAAATTAGGTGACTGTGGTGTCAATGCCTACACAGTAAGATGGGTCGCAAATTGGCTGGAGGGTTGCACCCAGTGAGTAGTGGTGGATGGGTCATTTTTGACCTGGAGGGATGTGGGCAGTGAGGTCCCCCAGGGCTTGGTCCTCAGGCCCGCACTGTTCAACATCTTCATCAGCAACTTAGATGAGGGAGCGAAAAGCACCTTGCTCAAATTCACAGATGACACGAAGATGTTGGGGGGAAGTGGGCATGCTAGAGGGGAGGGACAGGCTACAACTAGATCTGGACAAGTTACAGAGGTGGGTGGATGAGAACAGGATGGGTTTCAATACTAACAAGTGCAAGGTGTTGCACCTAGGGAGGAAGAACCAGCAGCATACCTACAGGCTGGGGAACTCCCTTCTAGTCAGCACAGAGGCAGAAAAGGATCTTGGAGTCATTACTGATTCCAAAATGAACATGGGCTGCCAATGTGGGGACACGGTCAGGAAGGCTAACCGCACCTTGTCATGCATCCACAGATGCGTCTCAAGCAGGTCCAAGGAGGTGATCCTCCCCCTCTATGCAACACTGGTCAGGCCACAGTTGCAGTACTGTGTCCAGTTCTGGGCGCCACACTTCAGGAGGGATGTGGCCAGCATCAAGAGTGTCCAGAGGAGGTCCACTCTCATGATCAGGGGGCAGCAGGGAAGGCCCTACAAGGAGAGGCCCTACAAGGGACCTAAACCTGTTCAGCCTCCACAAGAGAAGGCTGAGAGGGGATCTGGTGGCCATCTATAAACTTGCCAAGGGGGACCAGCAAGCAGTGGGAGAGTCCGTGTTCCCCCAAGCACTCCTGGGAGTAACAAGGAATAATGGCCATAAGTTGACTGAGAGTAGATTCAGGCTAGACATCAGGAGGCGCTACTTCACAGTCAGGTTGGCTAGGATCTGGAACCAACTTCCAAGGGAAGTGGTGCTTGCTCCTTCCCTGGGGGTCTTCAAAAGGAGGCTAGATAATCACCTTGCCAGGGTTGTTTTGTTGCCCTGTGGGGTCAGGCCAACCCTCAGGATCTCAGTATTGCACTGTTAGACAGGAGGGTTTAACACAGTAACACATATACAAACACACACTACTAGCTCAGGGACATATACATTCAAACCAGCCTAGGCACATGCATACCTATTACCAATTCAAGCACATACACTATACACCCCAAAAGTTAGACACAGATTACTAGTTCATATATCATGTATACAATGCCATATAGTATACACACACACACTAGCAACTTAGATACGCACATTCAAAATAACTAGTCTAGGTTCATGCACACCTATCACCAGTTCAAGCCCATACATGCTACACATACCAAATTTAGACAGAATCAGTTACCAACACCTGCACATTCAATACACATATGTGGGTTACTAATTTATATACCACACACACACGTACACAATGATATCTATATATGTATATAAATGTGTATTCACTAATTTACACATATACCACCCACCTACACATACACACAGGTGAGTTCCTAAGTTGGGTGTTCTGATGTGTATGTATGTATGTGCTTTGTGTACTTAGGATACCTGGGGCAAGGTTACGGTAAGAAAGTAAGAGTGTGGGGAGTTAAAGTTATCAGGACTGGGATTAGAACCGGTAGACTACAGGGGCCAGGGCTGAAGAACTGAGACTCCGGGGTAACTTGAGGTTAATTGATCTTAATTGATTAAAAGACAATGCCCAAAGCTTACAGAACAGGGGAGTGATGCGGCCACGGAGCCTGGGACTGGAACCAGAGCTACAGGGGAG